TTTATACATTAAATTGAGGGCTTTTGCCTCTAGTTGTGGGGGTTGTTCATTTGGGAGGGAACTGCCTATTAGGGGAGCTTGGCATTTGCTCCTTTTGTGTGTGTTTTGCCTGGTTTTGGGGGGAGGGGGGTGGTTTGGCGCATGACCAGTTTTTGTTCTCTGAAATGCTATGGTCCCCACAACACTTTTTTACACTTCCAGGCCCAAAACAATTGGGGATACCTGATCTATTCTGCAGAGGAAATGTGTGGGGCTTCTCATCAGCTGCCTATTCAGGATACTGAGTTGTTTCAGCCATTGAACTCATTTTACTTATGTTGTGAAATGGAGTAACTTGCTAGCAAGCTGTACTTCCGCATCACCCATGGAAAACCAAAGCAGAATTCGAGGGATATCCTTTCCACTTAGAAGCGTATCATGGAAATATCCGTTGTTTGCTGACAGCCACAATCTGGACAGAGTTAACATGCAGAAAAAGTTTAGGGTGAGGGTACACTTGAGATGCGATGCAATTATCGGAGCAGCCTTTGCCAACCGGGTCCCCTCCCAAAGTTTTGAACGACAGCTGCCATCGCAGGAGTTGTGGTCCAAAACATCAAGAAGCCACCAGGTGGGCAAAGGCTGGATTAGAGTATCAGAAACCTGAATTCAAATTCACATTACATTCGCTTGTTACATCTCTTTCTAGAAAATGACTTGACAGTTTGCTGTCCCTGTGCTCTTGGGATGAAACTAAAGACTAGAAATTGAACACTTCTAAACTTTCTACCAATATTTTTCTTTTGTTCGTTTGTTTGCTTGCTTGCTTGCTTGCTTGCTTGCTTGCTTGCTTGGCCATCACTGTAATAAGCTTGGATGATGAAGAGATGTTCCCAACAGTTGGCATACCTTCCCCTGATAAAACACACTGCCTTTCCTTCAGATACCTTGTGGCCTATAAAAGCAGGCTTCCTTTCTAGTATCATTTCAGGCACACTGGGAGAGCTGATTTGGGGCATTGAGCATGTGGCGCACTCTCTCACCAGTGTACGTTCCTGGGTTGTTTTTTTGTGGGGGTGTCCATCTCCCCACCGCCATTACTGATGCTGCCCAATTACTTACCTTGCCCTATGGGCTCAGACTGCGCCAGAGAAAGCAGAGGGGGAAACAAAATGCATGGAGATCGCTGCTTCTTCTCTCCCTGTGTTCAGTCAAGGAGGCCAGGTGAACAGGCAGCAGTGGCAAAGAGGAGCAGCAACCGGGCCACCGACTTCCAGGGTTTGGAAGCCAGCCCCTTACTGGGTCACCATACTTGGCGGGTGCCTGACAATGCCATCTTCCAACACTGGTCCGGGCTCTTGCTGCCATTGCACTGATGGTGCAAGAACTGGGTAAGGCGTGCACCCTGCAAGACTGGCTTCTTGCAGAGAGAGTGGGCACCTCCTGGAGGGAGAGAGCTGTTGGAGTTCATAGTCTATGTGCAGCTTGGCAAGTGAGCAATTAGTGTTTTGACTACAGGCTAGGGAGACAGAGCACGGGAGAAATTTGCCTGGAGGTAAGAGGACCTAGTAACAGCTCGGTGATTGGCTGAGGTCTCTCATACAGGTAGCATGACCTATGACATTGTTTGGCTAGTTAGGAGTACTCTGGAGTGCTTGGAGAGTGGTGAAGTTTGTGTCTGTATATAGTAACTTGTATATAGCTTGTGAGTTTACTGCCGTATATAATAAACTACAAAATCAAGTTACTAGTCGTCAGCTTTGTTCCTGATCGTTGTCCTGACTGAGCAGTCTCGATCGTTGCCTAGGAAAAGCTGCACTGCTCTGCTAAGTTGTGCATCATTGAAGATGTTCAGCGGTGAAGAGACTGGTCCTAGTAGCATGCAAAAGGACTTCAGAAAGTGCTCACAGGCTTCGGAGTTTTAACAAGAGCATCTGTGCCCAATGGGGCATGCTCTAAGCTGCCTTCTGGGCCTACCCTGGCCCAGGGAGCTTCCCAATTTTCTCCTCTCCCTTCTCCTGTCTCCTGGAATCTGCCCATCCCTGTTCCCTCTGCATATTCCTCCCAAATAGCTTTTGTTGCTGCAAGCCGTCTCTCCTTCTGCCTCGGCACAGATGGGTTCTGTTTGCCATTAGCGTCCCCTCGCCCAACCCCCGGGAGCCAATCTGAGCTCCGATTCTCATGCACGACTTTTTTGGAGGCAAGTCTACTCTCTTTCCCCGGATGAATTGTGGTTTCTTAGTGCCATTAATCATTTTCCCTTTACAAATGGGATCTGGAGCTGGAAACATTGCTCCTTTTTATTTACTGACAAGATGACCTGGCATCCTGGCAGCTGTCCACTGGGCTGGCGTCTGGAAGATTAAGTGAAGGAAAAGCCTCTGGGCAAATTCCCCACAGCAAACTCCCAAGGCCTCGGCCTCCCCCCTTCCCATCCCCTCTCTAAACATGCTGGGCTCATCCGGGAGGGCTTCCGCCAGGACCCAAGCAAATCCCTCAGCGTTGCTGAAGCCCAAGCGAAGAGCTGGAGGCATTCCACCAATCTGTCCATGTACAGCCCCGGCAGCAGAAGCAACAGCAGCAGAAGAAGGAACTATTGGACAGGAAGCAGGATCCATGCAGACTTATGGCTGCTCTAGACTGGTGTTCTTTGGCGGTGTGTTCTGCAGTGTGTCATTCACACCCAAAAGTGTGCGACAGTCCACACATCAATCTGCTTGACTCGTTCAGCGATGCTTCCCCAAAGTGACCACATTATTGATGTCCGGAGAGGAGCTCTCCCGTTTCATCACAACAAAGGCAGGGCAAAGGAAAATCCCAGTGTATCTGTGGTACGAAAAGTTGCAGGATTTCAGCAGGAAGCCATGGGGCACTGGAAAGGAAGCAGAACGGCAGTCCCAAAACTTTTGCAGGTGCAAACAGTACTGAATTAGAGTTGCAAAGCTTATAACCACCGCAATACCTCCATGAACACAAACCTTCAAGAATGGACCATAAAAAGGTTGTCATCCAGGGAGGAGACAGGGGGACATTGAGTTGGAAGGGACTTCCAGGATCATTTAGGCCGGAGGTTTTCAACCTTTTTGAGCTGCCTGTAACCCAAAGTGACCATCAATCCAAAGAAAATAAAAGGCAATGAGAGTGGCCTGTTAACACCCTGTTGCCAGGTTACATCAAATTGGGGGGGGGGGGAGAGTCTAGAGAGGCTCAGATAATTAAATACTCCTCCATACCCCCTTTTTTAAAAAAAATAATAATCCTTGAATTATATATATCAGTTTGGCTAGGATCTTCCACCAAATGGTTAGTTTTCTAAGTACAGCCCAGACAGTGTTTTTCACCCTCCCTGTGAAAAATAAGCCTAAGTGACAATATCGCTATACATGTGCTATTAAACTGTTTACACTAGTAAACAAGTCTTTCATTTATTATATCCTGAGACACACTCACACGGCTTTAGCACCCCATAAATCCCAGTGAAATGAAATAAGGGCCCTTTCTCCTTATCACCATGGCTAAGCTTTTGGTAGGCAGCAAGTCAAAGCAAACGGTTCACGCCGTGATTGCGGCAGCGAGTAAATAGGTACACAGAACACATGTGAGCAGTTTCCTAGTTTCCACTTCAGGCCTGTCAGAGAGTGATTAATGACTAACAGCCACGGCTCTGCCTTGATTGCCAAGTGCTGTATTGTTAATGCTGACATTTAATGAGGCTGGACATACTTGAACACAATTCGGCACCATCATCCGCAAATAATGTTTGATAGACGGTTAATTTGTTAAGTATTTCTTCTCTCCCTCCCCCACTTCCTTTTCAAAATGGTGTCAAAAAAGGCATCCAGGGAGAGGGGTGAAGGCTCTCACCATATTGTCGGGTGGAATAATGGTTTTCCGAAAGGGCGTTTAGCAATGTGGGAGATGGAATTGTGCTGGGGGGGTTGGTTGAAAATCACCGCTCCCTTCCTAGGTGTCTATCTTGGGATATGTCGGAGAGGCATTTGAAACTGAAAGCAAGAACTATTCCTTTATGAACCGCAAGGATAAATCCCCAGCGGCAAAACACTCCATTGGCATTTACTTTCTGGCATACCCGGGAGGCGTGCTGAAGCCTCGTGAGGATATTTGCTTAGATGATCCAGGAATGATCCAAGTGGGTTAGTGACTCAGTGAGCAAGGCGGCGAGTCCTTTTACTCAGGTGATATGTGCAAAAAGGTATCGGGGTTGATCAAAGTATCACTTTTGCTGTAATCCGAAGATTTGTGCTCCATGTTGGGCAAAAAGATCCCTGCATTGCAGGGGGTTGGACTAGATGGCCCTCATGGTTCCTTCCAAATCTGCAATTCTATGATTTTGTGACAAGACATATGGGCTTCAGATGGGAGCGTGAGAAACCATGGCTATGCATAATCATAGGAACATACGAAGAGTCCGACTGGGTCAGGCCAAAGGTCCATCTAGACCAGCATATTATAATAATAATAAATAATAATAATCTTTTATTTATACCCCGCCCTTCCCAGTTCAAAAACAGGGCAGCTAACAACAAATTTAAAACACTTTAAAACACTTAATTATAAAAGCAGCATAAAATACGGTATAAAAACATGAATAACAATAAAATTCAAAAATCAATTAGATAATCCCCAGGGCTAACTGGCTGAATTGGTCCTACTTGGGCCAGCGAGGAGGCCAGGGGAGAATTAGCTGTGGGGTCTCAGAGCAGGTGATCTTCATAAAAAGGGAGGGGGAGGGAAGAGAAGGGAAGGGAAGGGAAATAAAAGATCAGGCTGAATTCAAATCAAAGGCCAGGTGGAATAGATCTGTCTTACAGGCCCGACGGAAGGAGGTTAAATCCTGAAGGGCCCAGTTCTCATGGGACAGAGCATTCCACCAGGTCGGAGCCATCACTGAAAAGGCCCTGACCCTGGTGGAGGATAGTCTGACTTCCTTAGGGCCCGGGACCTCTAAACTATGGTTATTCATGGACCTTAAGGTCCTCTGCGGGGCATACCAGGAGAGTGCTTCTCTGCTCATACATTGACCCTGGGCTTCCTAAAGGCAGCTGGGTGGACACAAGATGTGGCTTAGGGCCCTCGTGTCCACCCAGCTGCCTTTAGGAAGCCCAGGGTCAATGTATGAGCAGAGAAGCTCTCTCATAGGAACATAGGAAGCTGCCTTATACAAGGGTTGTACATCGTTCCTGTACTCTCCGCTGTGAGCAGAGGATTTGACCCTATTGGGGTCTCTTCCCCAGCACCTTCTCTAGGGAACATGCTGTATTCTGCTCTGGTCAGACCTCACCTGGAGTACTGTGTCCAGTTCTGGGCACCACAGTTCAAGAAGGACACTGACAAACTGGAATGTGTCCAGAGGAGGGCAACCAAAATGGTCAAAGGCCTGGAAACGATGCCTTATGAGGAACGGCTAAGGGAGCTGGGCATGTTTAGCCTGGAGAAGAGGAGGTTAAGGGGTGATATGATAGCCATGTTCAAATATATAAAAGGATGTCACATAGAGGAGGGAGAAAGGTTGTTTTCTGCTGCTCCAGAGAAGCGGACACGGAGCAATGGATCCAAACTACAAGAAAGAAGATTCCACCTAAACATTAGGAAGAACTTCCTGACAGTAAGAGCTGTTCGACAGTGGAATTTGCTGCCAAGGAGTGTGGTGGAGTCTCCTTCTTTGGAGGTCTTTAAGCAGAGGCTTGACAACCATATGTCAGGAGTGCTCTGATGGTGTTTCCTGCTTGGCAGGGGGTTGGACTCGATGGCCCTTGTGGTCTCTTCCAACTCTATGATTCTATGATTCTATGATTCTATGGTTAAGCAGACCCCCTTCTTCCTGACAGCACTGCTTCGCTCGGATGATCTGGGGCTGTCTTGACCTGGTTTGGCCCAAACCCGGATTCCCCACCCACCTTCTGAATCAGCCCAATTTCATTCAGTATTCAGGTTTTCCTCAAGCTGAAAAAGGTCCCCCCACCCCCAGAAAGACTCAGGGTTGTGGCATCTTTAACAATATTTTCACGCTTGGGGCCAATTCCTAAGTTACGTGGATCCTAGCCAGGCTGCTGCGGAAATGATTTCTAGAGAGGCATGTGTGAGGAAAACGTTGTGTTGAAACTGGAACTGATTATATATATGTTGTTTTTATAAAAAGATGTTTTATTTTAAAATAAAGTGTGATAAAGTTACAACACAGTTAAGACATCTAGAAATATTACATTTAGTAATAATAATTTTATTATTTATACCCTGTCCATCTGGCTGGGTTTCCCCAGCCACTCGGGGCGGCTCCCAACAGAACACTAAAAACAGAATAAAACTTCCCTAAACAGGGCTGCTTTCAGATGTCTTCTAAAAGTCAGGTAGTTGTTTATTTCCTTGACATCTGATAGGAGGGCATTCCACAGGGCGGGTGCCACTACCGAGAAGGCCCTCTGCCTGGTTTTGGAACTTCCACTATTCTAAAAAATGGGTTGGAAGTCTATTGACCGCAATAAAGATTGATTGATTGATTGATTGGGTTGGAAGTCCCAATATTATCTTGGAAGTTGACTTTCAGTCGCTCTGGACTGGTGCTTTACTGCAGCTGTGTTCTTGATACCATAACAGTACATTAGCAGTGGATGTCTTCTGCTTTGATTTGTTCTGCAATGCTTCTCCAATGCAACTGCAAAATTTCTCTCTGGCAGGGCTACAGCGTAACAAAAGCAGGGACAAAAAAGGACCAGAACATTTATGGCAGAAAGAGGAAAGAGACTATGCACTGCCTGGAAATAAAGCAGCTTTTTTGCAAGTGCAAACAGTATTGAATGCGGAATCATGTCTGACTGCCCTGACAGCATTATGAGTACGAATCATCAAGAATGCACAGTAAGAATATATTGGGTTGCCCTGCCATTTTTTGATAAGGGGGACCCTGGATCGTGGCCAACTAACTAATACTCAGAGTAGACCCATTGAAATGAACAGACCTAAGTTAGCCATGCCTATTTATTGCGATGGGTCTACTCTGAGTAAGAGTAGCATTGGATACAACCTATTGAAGTATTCCCAGGTTATTTATTATTTAAATATGTATCCTGCCCCTCCTCAAATGTCCCCCATGGCAGCTTACAAGAACAGATATACAAGTTCAATCAAATCACCAGTAAAATATGGATAAAAGAGCAACACCATTAAAAAAATAGAAAAAAAGATCACGCAAGCCATTCAAAAACAAGAGCAGCTAAGGAAAAAGCAACGCACGAAACAGAGATAAAAACATCAATCAGCGGCAGATGTATTAACACATATTAAGCGCACATATTAACCTAATAGGCCAAAAGCTTGTCTGAACAAGAGCTACGCAGATAAAAGAACAATATTTACAGGAATAAGGCATATTAAAAACAGGGGAGATAAAGGAAGCAGCTGAAAACACACACAAAAAGATAAACCCATCAATCAGGAACAGAAGTATTAACACATATTAAGGACGCGGAGATGTTCCTCTTGGCAAATTGTGTGTGAGATGGGGAGGGATGGCGGAATGCTCTCAGAGCTCCAATCCTACCTCTTTACTGCGGAGGCAGCTTGGACAGTCCCTTGTTCCTAATAAAGGAAGAATGCGAGCTCAGCTCTTTCTATATTTGATATGCATATCCTGCTTTCCTCTCCTCTCCTCCAGTTGTGATACACCCTGCTTTGTGAACTGTGTCTTGGGTCTCCTCCAAAGGGCTGGGGGTTTGTGTTTTTCTGCACGTGTATGACATGGGGATCGAGGGTCCCTTCAGACTGGTATTGTCTTCATACCTGTATTCTACAACATGTCGCTGATGCAATAATAGAGCATTGGTGGTATATTTCTACTGGACCACTTTACTAGTTGTTCTGTGATGATTCCCCCAGTGTTAGCACGTTGATGCCACCTGGAAGGGCACTCTTGCACAACAGGGCAACTAAAGAGGGACAACTTTGCTGTGGAAACGTAGAGAACGGAGTTTAAGACTGGAAAAAATGAGGAACTGAGGCCACATTCACACCATGCATTTAAAACCCTATACAGTGGTACCTTGGTTCTCAAACTTAAGCCGTTCCAGAAGACCGTTCCAAAACCAAAGCGTTCCAAAACCAAGGCGCGCTTTCCCATAGAAAGTAATGCAAAATGGATTAATCCGTTCCAGACTTTTTTAAAAAAACACCCTAAAACAGCAATTTAAGATGGATTTTACTATAACGAGACTATTGATCCATAAAATGAAAGCAATAAACAATGTACTGCAGTCACACAATCAATCAATCAGTAGCCGAACTGGGTTCCACACTGTCACAAAAACAAAAAAGAGCCGCAAAAACAAAAACACAAAAGAAATAGCAAAAACAGACAGACCTCAGCATAACACTCAAAAGGGAAGTGTGCCACTCAAAACAGAAGCATAACACTCAAAATGGAGCATGTTCGGCTTCCGAAAAAAGTTTGCAAACTGGAACACTTCCGGGTTTGCAGTGTTTGGGTTCCAGGTTGTTTGAGTACCAAAGCGTTTGATAACCAAGGTACCACTGTATTACCACTTCAAACAGTCTTGGCTTCCCCCAAAGAATTCTGGGAGCTGTAGTTTGTAGTTTGCAACAGGCTGCTGAGAGTTGTTAGGAGGCCCCATTCCCCTCACAGAGCCACAGTTCTCAGATTTGCCTGGAGATCTAGAATTGTAGCTCTGTGAGGGGAAGAGGCATCCTTATACAAACTACAGCTCCCAGAATTCTTTGAGGGATGCTATCACTGTTTAAAGTGGTATCATAGTGCTTTAAATGTACAGTGCATGTCACCTGAAAGAAACTGAAAATGACATATTCATTGACCCTCACTCCCCACCCCACAGGAATTTGAATGCAAAGTCACTGAGCCTCCTTGGGCGAAGACTCAGTTTTCCCTTTCAGACTGAGGCCGCCTCTCTTTGCCGCCATATTGTTACTAGCGGGTTCTCCTCCTCCCAACTGCTGTTGCCTATTGGCTTGCCACATTCACCCACTCTGGGACACAGGAAAACGGATAAGGATTTAATCAGATACTAGCAAATTCAGGTGGTGCAACTAAAGTCTATTTGGAGCTCTTACACAGCTAAGCTGCTTCCCACCACAAGATCGGACATTTTACAGTAAATAAGGTAAAGCACTGGAAAGTGCTGGCTAGCGATGTTGTTGTTGTTGTTTAGTCGTTTAGTCATGTCCGACTCTTCGTGACCCCATGGACCAGAGAACGCCAGGCACTTCTGTCTTCCACTGCCTCCCGCAGTTTGGTCAAACTCATGCTGGTAGCTTCGAGAACACTGTCCAACCATCTCGTCCTCTGTCATCCCCTTCTCCTTGTGCCCTCCATCTTTCCCAGCATCAGGGTCTTTTCCAGGGAGTCTTCTCTTCTCATGAGGTGGCAAAAGTCTTGGAGCCTCAGCTTCACAATCTGTCCTTCCAGTGAGCACTCAGAGCTGATTTCCTTCAGAATGGATAGGTTTGATCTTCTTGCAGTCCATGGGACTCTCAAGAGTCTCCTCCAGCTGACCCACAAACAGGTCACAAGGTCTAACCTCCCCTAAAATTTTGTGCCAGCTAATTAAAGTAAATGTTCAATAATGGTCTGGAAGTGACCCACGTGGGAATGGAAAGGAGAAGTAGGAGCAAATCTCAGCTGAAATTTCACAGCCAAGAAACGTGTTTGCAGTTCTCCCACCGGCTTTGCCCCGGGAGACTGGATAAGGCCTGGCACTTAATATCCTGTGAAACACGATTTCTCATTTCTGCCTTTCAACTTTGTGAGGCCGCAACACCTATGAGGTATTCTGTGTTACAAAACCTTGATTTCTCTCCCCACCTCCTTTTGAAACCAGGTGTTTCCTTTCTGTGCCAGGTCCCAAAGCCGCAGGTACACTGCAGAAACAGGCCAGATTCCTAGATCACATTTAGGAATGAACTGCTTTGCCGAATCAGACTTTTCTTCTATACCTATTTAAATGGCAGCTGACATATGCCTTTGCCCAATCTATATGGGATGTATGCTGCAAAAGCATTATTCATGGGAATTCTTTATTTATTTTGGGATAGTTTTACTCCACCTTCCAACATGTCGGGGGGGGGGATGGAATCCCAAGGTAGCACGTAATTTTAAAGTACAGTCAATGAGAGAGGTTTTAGTTTGTATCTAAGGTCAGACTTGCAGGATCAGGGCCAGTGGCCCCTCTAGTCCAGCATCCTGTTCTCACAGTGGCCAACCAGATGCCTACGGATAGCCTGCAACCACAAGATTATTCTTCCTCCTAGAACTGATTAAAGGTGTCAGCCACACTATAAAGCTGGATTATGGAGTGCAAGTGGTGCAGTAGAATGTTCAAATGATTTTAAAGCAGGGACTGCTGTGGGTTAAACCACAGAGCCTAGGACTTGCTGATCAGAAGGTTGGCGGTTCGAATCCCCGCGACGGGGTGAGCTCCCGTTGCTTGGTCCCTGGCTCCTGCCCACCTAGCAGTTCGAAAGCATGTCAAAGTGCAAGTAGATAAATAGGTACCGCTCCGGCGGGAAGGTAAACAGCGTTTCCATTCGCTGCTCTGGTTCGCCAGAAGCGGCTTCGTCATGCTGGCCACATGACCTAGAAGCTGTACGCTGGCTCCCTTGGCCAATAAAGCGAGATGAGCGCCGCAACCCCCAGAGTCGGCCACGACTGGACCTAATGGTCAGGGGTCCCTTTACCTTTAACTGTTACAAACAGAGCAATCCTACGCCTGAATTCAGCAGGGCCTACTTCCAAGGAAGTGTGTACTGTACAGGGATTGCAACCTACCTAAGTGATTTGTTTATTTATGGAGCCAGCTGAGTGCTTGCGGGAAGTGTGATTTGGAAACTTAATTTCCCTTCCACTCCCTTTCCTTTGATTGGATCGTCCGTCCATCCCTTTGCCCTTCTCACGGTCAACAACACTCCTTTAAGTTACTCCTCTGTATCAGGTTATTTTCCAGCTCTAATCCCCACTGTCATTTCATCAGGTTTTGCCTGAAGCTTCTCCTTTGGATCCTAATCCCTCCTGTCAGCATTATCTCTTTGATCAGGGTGTTCTGGTTTAGGGCCTCCCCCTGCTTAGGACACCTGCATGGATATGGGCTCCCTCTTCAGCTTTTCCCCTCCTTTAACTGCCTTGCCATCTGCTTGTTTTGTAACCCTCCAACCTGGGCAGCCGCTCCTCCAAAGTAGAGATGGGAACCTGTGAGCTCCAATCACTGCCAGTCAGCACGGCCAATCAGTAGGGGTGACAGGAGCTTTTGACTTTGACACAGAGAATTTTAGGGTTGGAAGGGACCCCAAAGGTCATCTAGGCCAGGGGTCACCAAACTTATTCAGCAGGGGGCCAGTCAACTGTCCTTCAGACCTTGTGGGGGGGCCAAACTATTTGGGGGGGTGAACGAATTCATATGCCCCACAAATAACCCAGAGATGCATTCTAAATAAAAGGACACATTCTACTCATGTAAAAACAGACTGATTCCAGGACCGTCCACAGACCAGATTTAGAAGGCAGTTGGGCCGGATACGGCCTCCGGGCCTTAGTTTGCCTACCCACGATCTAGGCCAACCCCCCACAATGTAGGAATCTCAGCTAGAGAGCCAGTGTGGTGTAGTGGTTAAGAACGGTAGATTCGTAATCTGGGGAACCGGGTTCGCGTCTCCGCTCCTCCACATGCAGCTGTTGGGTGACCTTGGGCTAGTCACACTTCTCTGAAGTCTCTCAGCCCCACTCACCTCACAAGTGTTTGTTGTGGGGAGGAAAGGAAAGGAGAATGTTAGCCACTTTGAGACTCCTTCGGGTAGTGATAAAGCGGGATATTAAATCCAAATTCCTCCTCCTCCTCCTCCTCTTCTTCTTCTTCTTCTTCAGCATCCATGACAGATGGGCATCCAACCTCTGCTTAAAAACCTCCAAGGAAGGAGAGTCCTTGTAACTTGAAGCCATTGGTTGAAGTCCTACTGTTATGTACTGAGCTGAATCCTAGAACAATAGGATCCAGAATGCAGCAGTCTGATTGGTCCCTAGGAGGCACCCAATCCAGCTCCAGGTGGAAGTGAGTCAACGACCTGATTGGCCTGCGGGAGCAGCCAATCAGGCTCCTGGGTGAAGTGAATCCGCAACTTGATTGGCCTGCAGGAGAAGCCAATCAGGCTTCTGGAGGAGGTGAATCCGCAACCTGATTAGCCTGCAGGAGCAGCCCGGAATTAGCCAATCACGTGGGGCCCATTGTGTAAATAATGTATATATAGCTAGACGTTTTGGGGAAAGTTTCATTATTGCTATTCTGAGCTGAATAAAGAGCATGAAATTCACACTTGACTCCGAGGAGAAAGCAAGCATGCTCCCTCTTCCATGTGACAGCCCTTGAGACTCGCAGGCAGCGGGGGCTGCCACAGAGGGAGCAAGAGGCGAAAGAGCTTCTTTGCCCCTTTCTGGTGGCAATGGTCATGGCTGTTCAATGGCGGCTCTTTCCCTCACTGCCGCTGGGCTGGTTCCCTCCCTCAAATGCCAGCAAAGCAACCCAATGAGGACTGGGCATGCTCAGTAGCCATAGCATGCTGGCTGACTGGGTGTGGGGAACGGAACGGAATGTCCTGGAAAAGGGTATGGCTGGCTGAAACGTCGTGCATCTCGTTGCGGTGAGCCCCACTTACAATACGTGCTAAGAATAAAACCCAGCGCTCCCTCCCCGTTTTCTGAAAAGGCCTTTAATTTCCTGTCTCATGGCACATTTCTGTTCCAATGAGTTTGGGCAAAATTGCTGGAAGGAGGAGACGAGGCGCTCCTAATCTTCCCTAATAGCCATACCTAATAATTATTAAATAGGTTGTTTGTAAAGCGCCTTGAAGATGAAATACTTTATAGAAGCGTGATTACTATTTACAGGCATGCTTAGCCTGATCAAATGGAGTTGAAAGGTGGCTCTTTTGACAGGAAGGGAAGTCTCAAGAGGGCTTCGTTTTATCTGCCTTTCTTCTTCTTAACATATTTCAAAAATGTTTTTTGGGAGAATGTTTATGGGCAAGTGGCAACTTTCCATAAAATCAAAGGGAAGCAGGCACTTAGAATACCTTAGAGGTTTTTTGGAGGGGGTGCAAATTAAATTAAAAATGACAGCATCTACCTGCCTCCTTCTTCCCCCCCTTATCAGCATAATCTATCTCTTCCTTACATGAGCCAACTTCAACTATTTGCTTTGCAAGAACTTTTTCTACACAAAGCTTTTGTGCGCACACCAAACCTTTAAAGTGCGTTCAAAGCAAATGCTGCCCCACAGAGAACGCTGGGAACTGTACTTCAGCCCCATCACAGAGCTAAACTTCCCAGCACCCTTAGTAAACTACAGTTCCCAGGATTCCTAGTGGCGGTGATGAAAATGTGCTTCAGAGGTATAGCAGGTACCCAGCCTGAGCTGTAGTTTTTGTTATTAGCATCTCCAAACAAATGCAAAGTATAAAAACCTAAACAGGAATGTAAGAGGGAACCTGTTAGATCAGACCTATGGTCCATCCACCATCCTTTCTGGATGCTTCCTAGATGCCTTCAGGAATCCCCTAAGCACAGCAGAAGCTAGTCAGAGCACACACACACAGAGTTGCTCCAGAAAAATTGTGTTTCACTGGCATCCTGCCTCAAAACCTGGCTTAACACGTAGATTAACATTCATGGCCTAACATGTAGATTAAGCCACTTTCTACGTTTCCATCCTAGTCACTATCATTTGCTAGATAACATCTTCCTACTGACAGTGGGGCAAGCACTGCATTTGAATCACTTCCTATATCAGCGTTTCTTTATAAATTAAGTATATTCTCCACTTTCTGAGCAACAGGTCCTCAAAGCAATTTACGTTTTAAAATATGATAGCGTCTTCTTAACCTTTCCCTCCTCTGGTGCTGGAAAAGCAACTAGTTTTGCTCCAGACATCAACTCATTCCAGTTTAGATTCATCCCTCTACAAAAGAAGCTAATTCATTACCGTTCTGTTCATAGCTAACTTTAAGTTTGTCTAAATACCACCAAGCTAGTGGCAGATCCAGAGAGTTCTTTGTGAATAAGGATTCATTGCTAAACTACTCTGAGAATTGGGAATAGGGGCCCCCTAACGACTCTCAGCACCTCTGACAAGCTACAGCTCCCAGAATACTCTGGGGGAAGCCATGACTATTCAAAGTGGCATAGTAATGCTTTAAATGCATAGTGTGAATTTGGCCTTGGTCTAGCGCTCCAGTCAGTGGCTGCTTCTGTTTTTCCTTTGTGAATGTGATATAAGAACACAGCATTCCCTCTGAGGGGAGAATGTGGCGTTAAGCCTGGCGTTTCTTTAAAGTCTGCCTGCGGCACCTTGTTCTGCTGAAGAGGCAAGCGTCTATTCCGTTTCAGCTGAAACTGAAAAGTGGCTAGGCTGTTCAGCATGCAGCGGAGACCTTGAAGAAACCCCTTGCCTCTTCATCATTTCCCTTCTCCCTCCTATTACTTTCCCCGTGGTCCCAAGAACGCCCTAAAAGTTCATCCAGGAGTTGGACCCTGTTTCAGAACTTCCTTGTCCCTCAGTGCATGTGCTATTAACATTATTAACAGCTAACGACCCACAGCTTCTCACAAACACTGCCTCCATGAGCTCATACCGGTCTAAGTAGAGGTAACCTTAAACTGAAAAGAGATTGGGGGGGGGTCACCACTATTTATGACTGTCAAGTGGTGATTAATGACCAACCAGCTCAAAATTGCCTTTAATGCCAGCTCAGTATTGTTGCTTGTGGCAGTTAATGAGGTTAGACAGACTTTTTACACAGCACTTTAGTGCAGGGTTGTAGAGTGGGGACGTGTCTCCAGCAGAGCTTAACACAGCCACCAGATTCCCTGGGCAAAGAGCTAAGAACCTTTGATTTCCCTTTAAGACAATAGACAAAGAACCCAAGCAACTGCCAAGGGCATTGTCTGTCCACCTGTTTGAATCCAGTCACACCCCTCCCATGCCTTTGTCGCTGGAGTTTTGAGCAGGCCAAGGAAAGGTAAAGAAATAAAATATTGCACCTCTATGCATCGGGTGGGGGGGGGTTGCTTTCTGGCCCTGCCTCTGCAGACAGGCTGGAGTCAATAGTGTTAATGAGAATATTTCAAAGACCTTTGAACTTGTCTCGGTTTGTTGGCTCGTAAAAAGTACAGAGTGATTTTTCACTGGCTCCAAAACAGCAAGGTGTGTCTTAGGAGGGGGTAAAAAAAAAGTTATTGAAGTGCTGGAAGAGTTGCCTCAGCTGCTGATATGCTACTAGGACAAGTTAAAGTTGTTGCTACTGGTATATAAAGCCCTGAATAGCTGGAGACCAAGTTACCTCCGGGAACATCTTACCTAGTATAAACCTGGCAGGTCACATAAATCAACAGGAGAAACATTCTTGTTTTGCGTTGGGTGATGTGATCCGTGATCTTGCACCTTTTTTTGTTTTTGTTTCTTTAGCTTGCAAACCGCCTTGTGTATCGCAATACAGAGAGGTGGTGTACAAATTAAAAGTGGAACGCAATTATTTCCATTAATTATTATTATTAAATTTGTATTCCGCCCTTCATCCAAAGATCACGGGGAGGTTTGCAGCATAAAAACACAAAATGAGACCACAAAATACAAAATACATAGCAAAAACCTCCTCTCGCAAGCACATTTAAAAGGCCATAGATTGATTAATCAGCCAAAGGCCTGATTATAGAGGAATGTTTTCGCCTGGCACCTAAAGATATGCAATGAAAGTGCCAGGAGAGCATCCACAAATGGGGAGCCACCGCAGAAAAAGCCTATTCTCGTGCCCCCACCCTCTAGACTTTTCATGGAGGCAAAGCTACAAGGAACCAGGCAGAGGGCCTTCTTAGTAGTGGCACCCGCCCTGTGGAACACCCTTCCATCAGATGTCAAAGAGATAAACAGCTACCTGACATTTAGAAGACATATGAAGGCAGCCCTGTTCAGGGAAGTTTTTAATGTGTAACATTTTAATGTATTTTTGATCTTTGTTGGAAGCCACCCAGAGTGGCTGAGGAGACCCAGCCAGATGGGTGGGGTATAAATAATAAGTATTATTAGTAGTATTTATTATTATTATGGAGGGGGCACACAAAGAGGCACCTCACATGATGGTCACAGGGTCAGGATTGGTTCAAATGAAATGTTATCATTGATTGCATTTATTAATTCCTTCCGTGAAGCATCTCAAAGCAATATACACTATAATGAAAACAAGTATAAAATAGTTGAACACACACAGACCCTACTTTTTCCCCTGATGGGTCTTGAGGCAGCTACACGGAATTGTAGAATTGGAAGGGGATCCGAGAGTCATCTAGTCCAACCCCCTGCAATGCTGGAATCTCAGCTAAAGCACCCATGAAAGATTGCCATCCATCCAACCTTTGCTTAAAAATCTCCAAGGAAGGAGAGTCCACAACCTTCTGAGGGAAACCATTCCACAGTCAAGCAACTCTTACGGTCAGAAAATGCATGAGAAAGCTAGTCTTATGTTTTCATACCTTGACTGTTTTGTTGTTATTATTGATGGTATTTGACCTATTTATGTAAAGTGAAACTACACAAGTACAGCAGGCGTCCTGCTGCTGGCATTTGCCCTCCAATATGTGGAGGGACGCAGGTGGCACTGTGGGTTAAACCACAGAGCCTAGGACTTGCCAATCAGAAGGTGGGTGGTTCGAATCCCCGCGACGGGGTGAGCTCCCGTTGCTCTGTCCCAGCTCCTGCCAACCTAGCCGTTCGAAAGCACATCAAAGTGCAAGTAGATTAATAGGTACCACTCTGGTGGGAAGGTAAACGGCGTTTCCGTGCGCTGCTCTGGTTCGCCAGAAGTGGCTTAGTCATGCTGGCCACATGACCCAGAAGCTGTACTCTGGCTCCCTCGGCCAATAAAGCAAGATGGGTGCCTTTACCCTTTACCCTATGTAGAGGGCATCAAGCATGGGGCAGAGGGATGTGTGGCCAATGAAACCCATCACAACATATTGACTTAAGTAACAGTGCAATCCTAACCTTGTTTACTCTCTAGGTCTCTGCTGGGTGCCTGTTTTGTATTGTTTCTGCTTTGTTTTGTTTAAATATGCCTCTTGTTTTTTGAATTTTAAACCTTTTCCTTTTTTTGCTGATTTTAATATACCTTGAGACGCTTGTGTGGCATGTGAATAAAAAATGATAGTACCCCGAGATATGTATCAGGAGATGGCACGACGGCTCTGCTAATGTCTCCTCGTAGATTTCTTTTATTTCTGGAGTTATTACTAATAATATTTACCTTCACACCACTAGGTCACATCTTGATGCTGTTAACCATGGATCAGCAGAAAGGTTCTGATCTACAGGAGGCCAAAGTCAGTCTCAGCAATGAGGAAGGATTTTTGTTGTTGTTAAAAAACCCTGTTTTCCCCTTCCGTTATAGGAATGCGTTTCGTCTTAGCTCAGAGCAATTTCTTAGCTTACAGTTATTAAAACACAAAGGGGCTGAGCCAAGCTCTGTGATTTATGAAACACGTGCTAGATTCATTAAAAACCTTAAAAGATTTAATACATTTTATTGAGGCTTTAAATCTGGGCAAGTATTTAAAAACTTAATGCAGGGCGTATTTCATTCCAGACACCTTTTTTAACACTTATTTTGGAGCTGTAAAATTTGGATTGACAAATATTGCAGATATTTCATTACTCATTTTTATAAATTGGCACAGAATTCTTCTGACAGGTTTGTTATGTTTGTGTGTGTATAAAGTATACACACATACATACTCAATGGGATTTATATTGTCTAAATATAAAATTATTCTCTTTTATTGACGTTTTATAGGGTTTTTTTCCTATGTTTCTTTATAGTCCCTTCAGCAGTTACACATACACACACAATATTTAATATATTTCTGCATGATCTGACACTCTTATTATTGCTCCTCCATTTGACCAAGCATACATTCTAATAGAAAACATATTTTTATTCCTTTTTAATCATCTACAGATTTTTATTGTTTTTAATTTTTAGCCATGAAAGAAAAGAGGCTAGGAATTTCTGCCAAAGTCTTCCCATGACATCGCACCTCTGTAATGACCTCAGTTTTGTATCAGTATTAAGATGAGAGGCTGCCTGAGTCACTTACACAATGCATTCCCCGCCTGCAAAGTTACGCATGAAGATTTGCACAGATCTGAAATCTAACGGTTTTCACCCCATTTGTTATGTACTGAAGTTCTCACCCTGGGCTTAGCACAGAATCACATGCTGAATATTCTCTGCCTTAAGGAACAGATCCAAAAGGTAACTCAGGTTTCAATGGATGATGGGGCATGCCTCTTAGGGGGTGTGTTATTTAAAAGTGAGTACATTTACCAGGTATACCCGTTTTCAATTTGTAACATTTTTAGCTCACCTCTTCTTTCAAGGTCAGAACAGCGTACACGGTTCTTTTTCTTGCCCTCTGTGATCCAGTAACCCTGGAAGTTAAGGTAGGAGGAGGGATGGTGATTAGCCTAAGGTCACCCTTGCAGCTTTGTGGCTAAATGGGAATTGGAAGCAGATCTTGGATCAAGACTCAAACCACTACACCACTCTAGCTCTGAAGAAAATAAAAACTGTACAGTACTGGCTGCTTTCAAAGAAGTGATATACAAGGATGCTAGGACTGCAGTTATCAGCTGGTACTTTTTCTCCAACTCACCCTTTCTCCTCTGCTCTCTACGCTCCTGTGAGTTACCTTGCTCAATTGCAGACAAATACCTTTCTCCCTGGGCAATAGAGACACTTCCACTGATGGGCTTCTCAAACAGGATTACCCGTCCTACAAAAGAAGGAATAAATGCAACAGGAATTAATGCCTTTGGCATCTGCAGCAGGCATGTGGTCTGCCCGTCCTGTAGAACGATGAGAAATTAAAGCAAGATAAAGCACTCTAGGTCCATCTTTCACTTCTACGGAACACTGTTACCACAAGCCAAGAAACTTCCAGTGGCTTTCCAGTGATTCTCGAAGGATGTGGCACACCACACTGGTGGGGCAGGAGAGGGTGGCAAGTATGGAGGCAAGATTGAAGGACAATCAATACCGTATTTGGGGAATGATTCATGTTCTTATTTAGCTGCATTGTGTTATACTTTCTGGGTGCCCCATGGTCATATTATAAAGTAGCTGTGCATTATCTTATAAATCAAGTGCTGCTAGTTGTTGTTTGTTTTCCAATGTATTTCTTATTAATTAAAAAAATCGGTGTGGCACGAGCAAATTTTTATTCTGAAAGTGTGGCCTGGAGGGAAAAAAGTTTGAGAACCACTGGCTTAGTTGAAATATGATCCTCCAAACTAGCGCTCCGAGAGCCCTTTGAGATTAGAAATGAGCTGTAGGTTCAACATATCCCTCCCGCAAATGATTTCACTTCCAAGTTTGTAGCGTCCCCATATTTTGACGTGGTGGCTGGCAGTTCTCCTATATAACTCCAAGCTGGCAATCACGGGCTGAAGTAGTGGTCAGAGTCGCATAACTTATCTGAGATTCCCGACAAAAACCTCCTGCTGACATTACTGCATTTTTTTTAAAAAAATGTTTTATTTTCGGTTACAAATGAAACGTGTCGTTGCATTTATATTCAAATTATATTTGCATCTGGGTGTTGGCACTGGCAAAATTTTATGGAAATCCCCCCCCCCCCCGTGAAGCGCTTCCTATTTTTAGAAACCGGCCACCCTTCTTCTCCCTGGCTCTGCTCTGAAATCTAACCACTAACCCCCACTGCCTCTCTGCACAAGCCTTGCCCACCTGGCGCCTCGGACTACAACTCCCATCAGCCTTAGCCAGCTGCGGAGCCCAAAGTGACTCTCTTCGAAAGCGAAACGAAACCCGGCAACCGGCTCTCTCGCGCCCTCTGCCGGAGCCGGCGCAGGAACTGCAGGGAGGGAAAGGCGGGGAGGGGCGGAAGCGTCGGGGGCTGATGGCGTCACGGGAGCGACGACGCGGAAGTCGCGGCAGCAGCTGGTGCAGGAGGAGCAGGTGGCGGCGGCGGCGGTGAGTGCGAGCGGCTGAGGCGCGGGGTGCGGGGGGTGGGCCGCTTCCCAGGCCGGCCCTCCTTGGCCCCTGGCCGCCTTCTTCCTCCTCCCCGGCTCCTCGACTAGGCAGGGCCTTCTCCTCCTCCTCCCAGCCGGGCTCCCACCCCTCTCGCCCGGTTACAGGGTCCGTCTTGCTTCTGCTCGCTCCAGCCAGGCCTCCCTGCTCTAAAGGATCCCCATGGTCCTTCCCCGGCCCTCCCTCCCCTGTTCTTTTAAGGGCCGCCTTGCCATTGGCTGTAGCTATGGGGGGATGCAGGGGGGGCAGCGGCCGCTTCCCCAAGTCAAGAATTAATGAAAAACACTTAACTCGGTTCTGCCCCCCACCCAACATAAAGCCTGCTACGCCCTTGCACTCTGCTTTCTTTAAATAACAGTACCAATCATAAGGAATTTTTTGTCTCTCCCTTCCTACCCAGCTGACACGTAGGGAGCCGCTTTTTACATCCCGAAACTTGTTGACCTTCTATTTTATTTTTTTAGGAGGGCCCCATCTCTGTCCTGCCTCACTAACTGGTTGGTTTTTAGCAGAGTACAGATGTGGGTGGCGCTGTGGTCTAAACCGCAGAGCCTAGGGCTCGCCGATCGAATCCCCACAACTGGGTGAGCTCCTGTTGCTGCTCCTGCCAACCTAGCAGTTCGAAAGTGCAAGTAGATAAATAGGTACTGCTCCGGCGGGAAGGTAAACGGCGTTTCCATGTGCTGGTCTGGTTCGCCAGAAGCGGCTTAGTCATGCTGGCCACATGACCTGGAAGCTGTCTGCGGACAAACGCCGGCTCTCTAGGCCAATAAAGCGAGATGAGCGCCGCAACCCCAGAGTCGTCCGCGACTGGACCTAATGGTCAGGGGTACCTTTACCTTTACAGTGCAATGAAATCCAAAGAAAGCCAGGCAAGGTGGGCGGGGCAGACCAAAGTGAAACTCAATAGATTAAAATAGCAGGTTTTTAAAAATACAGTATGTATATTTATATTCCCAGAACTCAAAACTTTTTAAAAGACTGGGAGATTTTTTAAAAAGAAAGTATTTCAACACACAAAAGAAGGTTCTAGATGAGCTCTTCCCTTCTCATAACGAGCTCGTGAGGTAGCCTAGGGCTGTGTTTTGGTGTCAGGTGGCCCAGGATCTCCCAGTGAACTTTGTGTCTGAGCAGTATTTGGAGCCTGGCCTCCTCAGTCCTTCTCCAGTGCTCAAGTTTGCTCAACCACGCTGGCAGTCTTGTGTGTCTGGCACCAGCCATTTCCTGAAAAGGCTTAAAGGAGAGGACTTGGTCAAGCTCCAGTAATTAATGTCACATTGAATGCTGTAGCCATTGGAGAGAATCTGCCCAACCCCTACAGCTCTGTTTTGTGCATATTTACTTGTAAACAAGTCCCAGGTGTTCGGTGGGGTTTGTAGGTAAACAGGTGTGCTGCCCACAGAGTTTAGAGCTCTAGACTTGGCTAAGAAGGCCACTGGCCTGATCCAGCAGTCTCTGTCTAGTCCAGCATCCTGTTCTCACAGTGGCCAGCCAGATGCTTGTGGGAAGCCTGCAAGCAGAACCTGAGCACAACAGCACTCTGCACACCTGTGATTCCCAGGAACTGGTATTCAGAAGCATACTGTCTCTTGACAGTGGAGGTAGAATATAGCCAGTCTTCCAAAAGTCAGCTTCTTTGGATGTTCATGAGTTCATGGGTTGTGAGAAAGGGGAAGGAACGTTTCTCTATCCGCTTTCTCTATGTCATGAATAATTTTATAAACTTATAACATGTCGCCTCCTACTCGCCTTTTCTCTAAACCAAAAAGTCCCAAACGTTGCAACCTTTCCTCATAGGGGAGTTACCTCACCCCCTTGACCATTTTGAGATCTCAAATACTTTTCAGCTGTTTTTCTCCTGCTTTGGTGGGAGATGCAGGGAATTGTGGGCTATGTGGAAGGGCAAATAACATTATTGATAGATGAAGCATCGTACTGTGTTGTAGCTGCTTCTCTTGTCTTTTGATTTGTGGATTAATGTCATGTGGACATTCCTTATATCATACTTCACCCCAAGGTAGAGCTGCCCTCCTGAGGCCACCACCCTGAAAATTCAGCAGATTGGGTTAGAACCGTAAAGCAAAGTGGGGTTCAGCTTTTCATACCAAGTGAGTCACAAGAGTACTTGGACACGGAACCTGCAGGCCACACAATGCCTTGTCCTGTGGGGCGGGGGAGTGAGACCAACATTTGATGAGGACACCCAGCTCTCAAGTCAGCTAAGCAACAGCAGGCTTTGGGAAGGAGGTGTGAAGCTCTGGCAGTGTCCTAGAGCCCTCCCTCCTCTTTCCTAAAGCTGGGAAAGCACTAACTAGCCCAGTGCTTTTGGAAAGGCAGCCTTTGGAAAGGCTGGGGGTAGGGTGCCAAATGTTGCTGAGGGCCGCATGTCGGACCCCCCTGCTCTGGAAGGTCCTTTCTCTGTTCTGCAGACTGCATACCCTTTCCTATCCACTCCACTTCCTAGTCAAAACCATTTCTTGTTTTGTGAATTGTCACCTCTCCAGTGAAGAGCTTTCACAAGCACCAAATCCCTGGTACTGTCTTGTAGCTGCATCTCAGAAATCACCATTGTGGCTATTGGATATCTAACATGCTGGGTGGTCTGGGGTGTTTTGAAGTAACGTGAGTTCTCGCCTCTTGGCTTTCTAGAAAAGAAGTCATTCTCACTGTTGCACACAGACACATCTTGGGAAGAAATCATGTAACTCTTGTGTCCTCCTTTAACAAACAGCAGAGTTGCATAGCCCGTGTTCCTGTTTTCTGTTCATCTTAATTCTTATCTTAATGAGAAGAGAACAGGAAATAAAGTTATTTAAGGAATTTCCTAAAGTGACCATGGACTTCTCACAGCAGAATGCATTGCCTTGCTCACATATGTTGTTGGCCTCCATCCGTCTCAGGAGACAGTGGAAGAGTGCGCCATTGGGGGTAAAGTCAAACCATTGGGGCTCTGTGCTCCTCCAATCGGTCATTTCTCCTCTGGTCATTGCTGTGGATGCAGGACCTGACAGTCTGCCTCCAGGCACTGCAAGGAATTCCCACACAGCAGGGTTAATGTTCCTAGTCTTCATGTCAGGTTTGCTGACACCTTTATAATGCAGAGTTGGTCTGCCAACAGGCCTGAGGCCAGATCCCTTGGGGATCCTGCTATCTTTCATTCTGTGTACATGACCAAGCCATGTTGCTGAGATAGAATGCTGGGAATGTGGGCTTCGGAGAGCACACCTTTGTTTGAGACTATGTCCTGCCGTGTGATGCCCAAAATCTTAGATGAATGCATCGCCTTGCTAACATTGTGTGGCTTGGCTGATTCATAGAAGTAATCAGGTTGCTTCTCTGTAGACCAAAGGTGAATCCCAAGGCCCACATTCCCTTCTGCACAACTTTACGAGAGCCACATGCCAGCGGTGGGTGGGACCAGAAGCAAAAACATTCAAGTACTACTTTTGCTCAGTAGGCCAGCTTTTATGCACATTTCTCTTCCTCTGTATACTAATAATGATAATAACAATCACGCCCGCCCCCTCCAGGCATTATCAGAGTTCAAGGACACATTCCGGCCAGCCAAAAACACCTGAGAGTCTCAAATAGGTATGGGGAGGAATGTGGTCTGGGGAGAGTCCCATGAGGCAGATTGAGAAGTTTGGAGGACCACTTTTGGTCCCTAGTCCTGAGGTTCCCCACCTGTAATGTAGGCATTTATGTGTTGTGGCTGCCTACTGCTGGTAGCACACTGATTTCTGAAATAGTGTCCATCCTATACCTCAAGACAAGCAGTGTCCATCTGATGGATGTGAGAAATTTGGGCACAATCCATTGGGAAGTCCTGTGTAAGATGAATGGTGCATGGATACAATGCTCTTGTACATTTCCTGCTCATTCCAATGGGGCCTCATGAGGGGCGAGCAGAAAGAGCTTTTCTCTGATGGCATCATGAAGACGTAGGGTCGTCCAGGATATGACCCAGAGATCTTGCCTCAGGGCTGCAATCCTAGCCCCACTTACCTAGGAGTAAACCACAATGAA